TATGTCCTCTGGCGCACCTCACCACTCTTCTACGTGTTCTGCTTTGTTTTATTCCTGCTGTGCCATAGCCTGTAAGGATCTCCTTCTCCTTTCCTCAATCACCGCCATTATTTTAGTCACACTTCAAGGTCCATCTCAAACATCCCACCCTTCTTCGATCAGTCAACAATCATCTACTGAGTGACTACTGTGTGCCATCTATTTGGTCAGCACGTTCTGAGTTGCTACTTCATCTAGGTGGTGGGGATGCAACAGCGAATACAACAGACAAAAAAAACCTGCCATGTGGAGCTTAGTGGAGGAGGCAGACAACAGAACAAAAATGCGAATAAGAACGTAGTAGGTAAGTGCCACATAGGGGATTAGAACATATAGGACTGGGTGGCTATTTTCATCTGAAATGGCCTTTCTGACGAGGTGACGACTATGCTTAGGTCTGAATGGCAGGAAGGAAGGGAGCAAGCATTCAGAGTACGGGGGCAAAGCATTCTAATGATGGGACCAACCAGCATGAAGGCTTTCAGGTGGAACCAAGTGTGATTGAAGAACACAGAGAAGGCCAGAGAGGCTGAAGCACAGCGGTAGAGGGAGAAATTAACAGGAGAGGATGTCGCAGCCAGCTCACGTGTGCTTACTAAGTCAGGGCAAAGGGCTGAAATTTGATTCTTTGTACAATGATGGGAAGCCACTGGAGGGTTTTAAGCAAGAGAGTGACATGATATGGCTTGTGTTTGAATAAGCTCACTCTGGTTGCTGTGTGAACAAAAGAATAAGGGGGTGACGGTAGCAGGGACCAGGGAGGAGCCTTGGTGGGCAGTCCGGTTCTCCTTGAAGTACTGCTGAAGTTAAGGCAAATGAAACGCAAAAGCTCCCCTTACTTCAGGCAAAATATTAAAATTCTTATTATTATCTACTGGGGCCTGGATGGGCTGACCTCTCTCCAGCCTCCCGTATGCCGTCTTTGCCCCTGCTATTGAGCCTTGCTGACTCTGTCAGCTCTCCAAATGCAGCATTCCTTCAGGCCTCAGAGCCTTCAGGCTTGCTGTGGTTATTTGTGTGATAAAATATACATAACATAAAGTTCTCTATTTTAACCATTTCAAAGTGTACAATTCAGCGGCATTGAGTACATTCACGATGGGGTGTCTAGCTCCAGAACTTTTTCATCACCTCAAGAGGAAACCCTGGAACTGCTAAGCAGTCATTTCCCATGGCCCCTGCCCCCAGCCCAGGCAACCACTAATCTGCTTTCTATCTCTATGCACTGGCGTGTTCTGGATCGTGCATACAAATGTAGTAACACAGCAAGCGGGCTGTGTGTGCCGCTTCTTTCACTCAGTAGCTTTTCAAGGTTTATCTACATTATAGTGTGTGTCGTTCTCATTCTCTTTAATGGCTGAATAATATTCCCTGGTATGGATCGACCACATTTTGTTGATCTGTTCGTCAGCTGGTAGACGTTTCGGCTGTTTCCACCTTTCAGCTGTTGTGACTCGTGCTGCCGTGAACAGTCATGTATAAGCTTCTGTTTGAACACCTGTTTTCATTTCTTTTGGGTCCATACCTGGCAGTGAAATTGCTGGGTGATAGGGTGGTTGTGGTTGTTTTGAACAACTGGAGATCAGTGAGTCTTAAGATGTTACTAGTTTCCTGTGATTGCGCTAACAAAGTACCACAAAATGGGCAGCTTACACGACACAAATTTATTGTCTCACAGTTTTGGGGGCCAGAAGTCTCAAATCAGAGTGTCAGCAGGGCCATGGTCCCTCTGAGGCTGGGTAAAACTGTTTCTTGCCTCTTCTACTCCTTGGCGTTCCCTGGCTTGCAGCTGTATCATGCCAACTGGTCGTATGCCCTTCCCACGTGTGTCTCTGTGTCTTCACACGGACCCCTCCTCGTGTCTCTTCTTCTTTTAAGGACACCAGTCATACTGGAATAAAGGCTGACCCTCCTCCAGTATGACCTCATCTTAAATAATTGCACCTGCAACAACCCTAGTTCCAAGTAGGGTCCCATTCTGAGGTAGTTAAGGTAGAACTTCAACATACCTTTTGGGGGACACAGTTCAATCCATGACAAACTGACAGAAATTACTGTGCATCTGAATCTCCTAGGGATCTTGTCAACATGGGCTTTGTGTGGGGCCTAAGGTTCGGCATTTTCAACAAGCTCTCCCAGCAGATGCCAGTGCCACTAGTTCAAGGGCAGGGTGACCAACTTTTTCTGGTTTGACAAAGACTTTCCTGGCTTTAACAATGAAAACCCCGAGTGCAAGGAAACCCCTCAGTCCTGGGAAAACTGGGATAGTTTGTCCCCCTATTGTATCACCCAGACCATAATTTGAGTAGCAAGGATTTAGCTATCAGCTAGGTTAATTTACCCAAGAATTACATTATTGAATATCATTATTGAATATTTACTTTTAATTTGTTTTTGCTGGAACAGTCCACATTTTCAAGAATCTGGACCTAAAAGGTATCCCTAGAACGCTCAAAACGGAAATCGTTGACCTGATGGACGCCGTCTGGGAATATCACGCGTTAACTCATGAAATTATCTATGATGCTCAGCAGTGTCCCTGTTAAGTTGAAAACTGAGATTTCTGACTCCGTTACAGAGTAATTAGGCATGGGCAAGACCTTTTGAGGCTAAGGGTGGCCACGGGGCTTGAAGTGTTCACTCTCCTTTTCCTGCTGCTGCCTGGGGACTGTAAACATGTAGGAGAAAGCTTTCTGAAGTTGGCTAAAGGCTATTGCAATAAGGACAGTATCCCTCAACTCTTGATTCCTATCAGGACCACCTGCGACCTCACCCCACAGCAAATGATTCAGGCCACCTGGGATTGGGCACAGGCAGTCAGTGTTTTGCTTTGCTTTTTTAAAAATAAGCTCTCCAGGGGCGCCTGGGTGGCGCAGTCGGTTAAGCGTCCGACTTCAGCCAGGTCGCGATCTCGCGGTCCGTGAGTTCGAGCCCCGCGTCAGGCTCTGGGCTGATGGCTCAGCCCGGAGCCTGTTTCCGATTCTGTGTCTCCCTCTCTCTCTGCCCCTCCCCCGTTCATGCTCTGTCTCTCTCTGTCCCAAAAATAAATAAACGTTGAAAAAAAAAATTAAAAATAAGCTCTCCAGGTGATGCAAATGAGTAACCAGCATTGAGAATAATTGTGCGGGAACTGCCTTTATAACACAAACCTTGCCAATCTGCTCCTAATCTTTTTTTTTCACCTGAACCCATATCCCTCTCCACTCCCCTCTATGCCAACATATCCTTTTGTTATGGTTGATCATTTCCTTAAGCAGGTTCTCCTCTTCCTCCTGTTTGAGTCCTGTTTATACAATGACCTCACTGACCTCAGACCATGTTCAACTTACTGGAGGTAATAATTATTCCTGCAACAACTGACCTTGGCCGGCTTTCCTCAAGCCTACTGACTGCTTTTTTACTCTTTCACAAAAGGTGTCCTTAACATTATCCACGGTAGAGTTAGCCTGAGCTAGTGTTGCTATTTTGACCGCAGAATCTCTCAGGAATCAGGCTAAATCTCCCACAGAATCTGTACTGTGTGTTCCTCTACAAACCAGCCACAGGAAATCAGGGTGGAGTGTACATTATTTTTTTATTGGGGTATAATTCACATGTCATAAAAGCCACCCTTCTGAGGGTACAATTCAGTGGGTTTTAGTATGTTCACAAAATTGTGCAACCATCACCACTAATTCCATAATATTTCCATCCCTCCAAAAAGAAACCCCCTACTCATTAACAGTCACTCTTCATTCCTGCAGCCCCTCCCCCTGCAACCTCCATTTCTGTCTGTCTGGATCTATTGTGGACCTTGCCTCTAAATGGATTATTCAACACTGGTCTTTTGTGTCTAGCTTATTTCACTTAGCAGATTTTCAAGGTTCATACATGCAGCATAGATAAGCAGTACTTCATTCCTTTTTGTGGCCAAATAATTTTCCATTGTATGGATTTACGACAGTATGCTTATCCATGCATAACTGATGAACATTCAAGTTGTTTCTGCTTTGGGGTTACAATAAATAGTGCTATGATCATATGTTTTCATACCTTTTGGGTACATATCTAGGGGTAGAATTGCTTGGTCACACAGTATCTCTTATGCTTAGCTTTTTGAGGAAGTTCCAAATTGTTTTTGAACATTATTTTTTTGACCTTGATACAGCTCTCTTTCCTGGGTGTGAGGTGGTTTGTTGGACTTGTTAGGGTGGGAAAAATGGTTCTCAGGCATTTTAAACATTTTTTTCTGTTATCTGCTAAACATTTTATGTGCAGGAAGAATGGTACCTTCGTACAGAAACATGCCATTCAGCATCATTTCAAAATGTGACCTCTAAAAAATGGCGCTCCTGCGGTGGCCAGTCTTTGGGGTGTCTGAGCTCCCAGGTTCCTGACCATCCCTCCAGCTGTAACTCCGGCCACCTGTCACAGTCTGTTCCTGGCACAGACAAGGCTTGCTTGTTCCAAGGACACGACTACTGGGCCACTTCCATCCGAGAAGGCCTGGTGGGGTGTCTAAATGCAGAAACGTGCCTGCTTTTCGGGGATACCCATAAAGCTCGCGTCGCCAGGTGCACACAGCCCTGCAAATGTAAAAGCCTTACGGTGCATAAAGCAGAAACTTACGTGCCTCGGTGGCCTGGAAGAGATTGTGTTGACCTCCGACCCTGCCCCCAGGCTCTTCCATTCCCTCCCCGCGGCCCTGCCCGGCTCTTCGCCTCGGGGGGCGGGGGGGGGGGGTCTGAGCCTGCGCGGGCTTGCCCGCGCGGGCGGCCTTCTCAGCATGCGCAGTCACTGCCAGCCCAACTCCTTAAACGGGCGCCCCGCGGAATGCGCGCTCACGCACGCGCACGGCCTCATCTGCGCGTGCACAGAGCCTCTCGCGGCACGCGCCCCCGCCCCGCCCCGCCCCGCCTCCTCCCCCCTCCCGCGCGCCCGCCCGCCGCCCGCCGCCGCCGCCGCCGCCGGAGCTCTGTAGTATGGCATCGAGGAGAATGGAGACCAAACCTGTGATAACCTGTCTCAAAACCCTCCTCATCATCTACTCCTTCGTCTTCTGGGTGAGTGGCCACGCCAGGCGGGTGGCCGGGCCTCCGGCCGTCCATCCTTATAGTGATGCTCGGAGAAAGGAAGAGGGGTGAAAAAACCCAAACCAAAAATCTAATCTCGGTCCCCTGCTTAAGGAAATAGGTTCAGGGGGCTGGGTTGGGGCTGCAGGATGTCGGGGTGCAAGCTTGGGGCTGCTGGGACCCTGGACCCCGCCCGGCGCGGGCTGCAAGGGGCTGCGTGGTGGCGGTGACTGCAGGTTGTCGATCTTTCCAAATTTGTTTTAATGCGCTGATTTATTTTTTTAAGCTTGCGGGATAGAGTCAGCCTCTAGGGAAAGTTGCGGCTTTATTCCTCTATTTTCCTCTCTGGACACCCCTCCCCGGCCTCCCTTACGATCCTGTTCGCGGTGTCTCTGGGAGCTAACCTGGCTGGGAGAGGGCGCGGGAGTACTGGGTTTGATCCCAGATTCCCGGTTATTCCCAGCCCCGCGGGGCTGCGGGAGGGAGGCGCCAGGAGTCCTGTGCCTGCCTGGCTGGGCAAGGGCGACCAGGGCCCCCCAAACGCACTGATGGGGAGAGGGCGCTGCAGTCGCACGGAGACGCACTGACCTGAGAGGGTCTTACATAAACTAGGGGCATCTTTAAGCTTTCTCAGAGACCCAGGAGGTGGGTCTTATGACCCTTTTCCCACTCCCCTCCACCCCTCCACTCTTCATCTGGTCTTTCGGTCATTGCGTGTACCCAAGCCGCAGAGTCCTGGGGGAGGACCCCTGCCACTTGGTGACAGCAGTAGCGCCCCAACTCTACTCCCCACCTAACCGGTGCTGCTCCCAGTCCTTGAAGCTCAATGCAGAAGGGTGACGTCAGCCCCTCAGCTGAGGCCTCGGGGGGCTGCGTGGTGCACCTCGCGGAGGGATGCGCCCTTCTGCGCGCGGGGGTAGGTGGAGGAGGAGGGGGGGCTCAAGGCTTGTGCCTTACCTCATCCTGTTTGGCAATTCGTGGGATCAGTGCAGGGCTGACACTGCAGTGATTCACTTGGAGGGGTGGGTGGTACCTAAAGACCGTTCCCTGTTGTTTCTCTTTCCATGTAGAAACCCCCTCCCTCCCCAAGTTCTGCATTTCCACACCAAGCCACAGCCACTCTGCAGGAGAATGAATGTCTGTTACCTCCTTCCTCCCACCCCAATAATAATTTGGGTCATTTCACCTTCCCAGGCAGTCATTTTGAAACCCGAGGCTCTGTAGAAAAAGCTAATCCCGCCTTTGGTCGTTTTTCTCCGTGTCACCCCCCACCCCAATTAGCCCTCATTCTGGTTTGAAACTGGGCACAGTACCGTGTGAGACTCGGGTTGACGGTGAGGCAAGCTGTTTGTAATGACCAAGGCAGGAGCTGAGATTTATTAAGGATGAAAAAAAAATCTCTAATGTGCCCCCCCCCCCCCCCCCCCCCCCCCCCCCCCCCGCTGGCATTTCCTTGTCACTGGCATTGGTGATGCTTCAGATCCAAGAAACTGTGGACTCTAGGGACCGGACATTCCAAGAGATCTGCAGTAAGATAGGATAGATTAACTGGTATATCACACAAGGCAGACACAGAAACGGACTTTATTTGGACTGAAAACGACACAGGTTGAAAATTTAGCCGAAACTTTCCAGTAGCCATTCCTGGGAACTGGTTTAGCCTTTTATTTATTTCCTTAAATCTCTGTGTTTGGCACTTTAGTATTTACTTGACTTCCTATTTGTTACTGGAGTAAATCATATGGGTGATTATTTTGAGCTTCCTGAAAAATAAGATTTACAGTATATAGGGAGTGTTCTTCGGCATCACTGCAGGCTGGTACAGAAGGGAGTCTTCTAGACTGAGGCTTTTCTTTCATATGATCTCTTTAACTCTTCTTGCTTACCTCCCGCTCCCACCCCATGCATATAATTACTTAATGCTCCCTAATAAATCGTAAACAAGCACTGTATTTTATGTCCCCTGACGTTCGTGATACCTGCGTTTTAAGTTTTTTATAATCTCAAATAAAATGTTTACCTGGAGCATTTTCAGTAGTTTAAATAGCATTCAGTAATCATTTCACAACCAAAAGAATGAGATCTCTCCAGATTCAAGAGTATTTTAAATAAGACATTGTCGTTAATAAAGTGTTGTTCAAATGTCATGTTTCCATTGTACTTTAAATGCTGGTGGTTGTTTTTTTTTATAAAACACCTTATTGAAATGTAATTCAGATACTATATAATTTACTTTTTTAAGAATGTACAATCCAGTGGTTTTTTTTTTTTTTAATTTTTTTTCTCAACGTTTATTTTTATTTTTGGGACAGAGAGAGACAGAGCATGAACGGGGGAGGGGCAGAGAGAGAGGGAGACACAGAATCGGAAACAGGCTCCAGGCTCTGAGCCATCAGCCCAGAGCCCGACGCGGGGCTCGAACTCACGGACCGCGAGATCGTGACCTGGCTGAAGTCGGACGCTTAACCGACTGCACCACCCAGGCGCCCCAACAATCCAGTGGTTTTTAGTATATTCACAGATAAGTGCAACCATCAGCCCGGTCAGTTTTAGAACATTTTCATCATTTTTAAAGAAACTCCATACGTTTAGCTATTCTCCTCCTCCCCCTCCCCTCCCCTCCCCAAGTAATCACTAATTTCTGTCTCTAGATTTCCCTATTCTGGACATTTTATATAAATGAAATCATATAGTATGTGGTCTTTGGTGATTGGTTTCTTTCATTTAACGTAACGTTTTCAAGATTCATCCATGTTCCTTCTTTTTATTGCCAAATAATACTGCATTGTATGACTATATCACATTTTGTTCATCTGTTTGTCCATTAATGGGCATTGGGGTTGTTTCTACCTTTTGGATATTGTAAATAATGATGCTATAAATGTTCACATACAAATGTTTGTGTGAACATATATTTTCAATTCTCTTTCCTGGGAATTGCTGGGTCATGTAGTAACTCTATGTTTAATTGTTTGAAGAACTGCCAGACTGTTTTCCAAAGTGACTGCACCATTTTATATCCCACCCCCCACCCCCAGCAGTGTTGGGGGGTTCTGGTTTCTCCACACCCTTGCCAACATTTGTTATTATCTGACTTTGTGATTCTAGCCATTTTAGTAGGTATCTCATTGTGGTTTTGAGTTGAATTTCACTGATGAGTAATGATGTTGAGCATCTTTTTATGTGCTTCTTGGTCATTTGTATATCTTCCTTGATATGTCTATTCATATCCTTTGCCCATTTTTTATTTGAGTTATTCATTTATTATTGAGTTGCAAGTGTCCTTTACTTTTTGATTCAAGTCTCTTATCAGATATACCATATGCACATATTTTCTCCTATTCTGCGGACTTCCTTTTCACTTCCTTGATGGTGTCCTTTGAAGTACAAAAGTTTTTATTTTGACAAAGTCTAGCTTACCTATTTTTCTTTTGTTGCTTGTGTTTTGGGTGTGCTATCTAGGAATGCTTTGCCAAATTCAAGATCATGAAGAAAATGCTGTTGATTAGAGTGATTTATCAATTCAGTAAATACAGTTGACAAATTTATATCTAGAACTATGTCTGGCACATTGTAGGTACTCAAATATCTGTCAAAACTTCTGGGATTAGGTTAGGTAATTAACTAAAAAGATGACCTTAGTTCTTTTAAGTGGAAGATGGAGGGAAGATTAGTCAGAATTGTTTCCTTTGTGTTCTTTGTGAATTGCTTTCATGGGACAACCTCTCTTCTCTTCCGTTTAGATTTAGGACCAGAAGACATTCGAACTTAAAATGATGGTTGGGTCGCCTGGGTGGCTCAGTCGGTTAAGCGTCCGACTTCAGCCAGGTCACGATCTCGCGGTCAGTGAGTTCGAGCCCCGCGTCGGGCTCTGGGCTGATGGCTCAGAGCCTGGAGCCTGCTTCTGATTCTGTGTCTCCCTCTCTCTCTGCCCCTCCCCCGTTCATGCTCTGTCTCTCTCTGTCTCAAAAATAAATAAACGTTAAAAAAAAATTTTTTTAATAAAATGATGGTAGACCAGTAACATCAAGAGGTGGATGCACCTGAGTGTATACTAAAGCAGAAATCTAATGTTATGGAAGAGAGATCTTTGTTTTATCTTGTCTCCTCTTCTGTCTACAACCATTCTCCCTTTCTGAGGTATTCCTCTAGAGCAATGGTTCTCAACAGGTGACATTTTTGTCCACCCATCTCCTGACATTTGGCAGTGTCTGGAGACCTTTTGGGTTGCAGCTGGGGTTGGAGTGCTATTGGCATCTAGTGGATAGAGGCCACAAGGGCTGCCGAACATCCTATAAAACACAAGACAGACCTCACAACAAACAATTACCTGGTTCAACGTTAACAGTGCCTGCAACCTCTATACTATTGGACTTTATACAGTAGTAAGTCCTACGAAGAAAAATAGAGTCTTATGCAAAATTATATTTAGTAGTGTTTGGAACCGCTAAACCAGAGCATGCTCAACACAATCCCAGGTTAGAGGAAGAACAGTCTCTATAGTGCACTGTAATTCTTTTTTGAAGATAAAAGGTAGGTAGTTCTTTATATGATAGTGTCTAAAAGGATAAGATGATTTGTCTTCCAGTAAATGACATCACTTGAATGCTAGGTAAATGGATCATTTATTTTTCCTGGTTTATATGTCTCATTTTCAGATTTATAGAAGAGGAGGAAAAAACACACCTAGGAGTAAGTTATCCTGTGCTTCAAAGACTAGTAAATAGTGCCTGGCACATAATAGGTTTACTCAGGAAGTACTGAATGAATGAATGAATGAATGAAATTTTATTGACTACTCAGGCTCATTTATTTATTTCAATTTACCTTAATTTGTATATTAAAGTAATTGGGAGACTTTTCAAAACAGTCTCCTTTCCAGTCTACCTGTGGTGATTTAAATGTGTTCCTGACATTAATACATACAAACATGGGACAGAGGACTTTCTAAAGAATAGCTTATCCTAATGATAGTTCAGTTATTATATTTT